TTTTTTTGTTCGCTCGGTATCATAAATTCTAGCAACAGCCAGTAATGTTAACAATAAATGCTTTCAATGTTACTGCGATCAAGCTAGCTCGTCTTAAAGTTTTAATTCTCGCATCCTTCATGCAAAAAAAAAAGAACACGAGTTTAAAATTAGCGACAGTTCGCGCTCCAATTGTTCGTCTGAGACAGGTCAGAATCATGCAGCATTTATACCATTAAATAACTTCAATTTACTGCTCTTTTTTAACATCTCTTCCAAATCTCTGCCCAATTTTTATTTTAGTCACTTTTATATTTTCCCATACGTCTCAATGAACAGAGTTATCCCAAAATAATTCACGAAAAAAAATCATAACTTTCTTTAGAATTGACCTACAAATATAAATTTGGTATCAATGAATTGCATTTTCAGGCCCTATCTAACCAACTAGCTCTTAAAGCTATAACTTCATTTTGAAAATTTTGCCCAAGTACCTAACCATTGTGACCGGAATTCTTCAGTGAATAGAGTGTAAGACTGAAACTGATTTAGGATCCGAGTTTTTAATTTTTCATGTGCATGTAATTTGAATGAATAAATGAGTCATTTTGGCCTATAATTAATTTAGGTTTGACTCTGCCCATTAACATTAGGAGAAATGTTGAACTACATTCCAATTGAGTTAATTTCTTTATCTCAACTTTAAGTGAGGAAAATCGTATGTCAATATAAGGCATCTTCGCATTAAAATATTCGGTCTAAATATTGAAAGTAGGTCTTTCATATATTAAAAGTAGGCTTGCATATTTTTTTGAAGTACATGTGTGCAAAATTTCATTGAGATAGCTCGTGAAACATTTTCACAATTCTCAACGTTGACCTCATTATGCAAAGGTCGCACAGGCCATTTTGGATTAGTGATTCTGCCCCCTGTTAAATAGCCGAAAACTTAGCTTAGGAAATATTCATTTGGGGTCATCACTTTCAACTTCACTTACTTGGTTCATGCCCATGCGGTCCATGTTAAAAAAGGACAAATTAAATTGTACTTTAAAAATTCATAACTTTAAAACTACAACAGCTAAAAATATGATTTTGGTGTTATTCTTTAAAAAATTAGCTTTATTCAACTATGCCATTGGTTTATTTTTACAAAGAGTTTTAATTGTCTAATCAAAGTACCTACAACTGCCTGTATTTAATTAATAAAGAATACACCTAAGTTTACATGATAAAATACGAAAGCGTTAAGAAATAATAGGTAAAATAATATACGCACCTGAACTCCACTTTTACCCAGTATGGTTTGTTAGAAATTCAATAAGTTAGACTAATATCAAATTACAATTACAGATAAGACAGTACTGTGGCCGATTTGCCGCCACAAAAAGAGAAGTACAGCAACTTTGATCTTGATTGATGTCCCGTTAATGATTATAGAACTATACTTAAAATAGAACTTAAAAATACCATAAAATTATAAACATAAACGTATTCTTACTTTCTTTCAGCTGTGTTTCTTCAAAGTCTTGAAAATATGGTAAATTTCTCGATTGATAATAATGGCGACTAAAATGGCAACCAACAGGAGACAGGAAGTATCCGTCATAACCAACTTCACGTGACCAGCCGGATCCGAATAGCCATTTGCGGCTATTGGTACTCGGGTACCTATAGCCAATTCGTTATAAATATTGGAGAAGTTGGGGACAAGATTCGCGCCCGGGGACAAGATCCATTTTAAAGCACCCCCTTTTCTTTTTTTCAACTCTCAAACCAATTATTTTTACCAATAATATAATATCAAGGCACATTTTGGCGCCCCTAACTAGCTTGCGCCCATGGACATCTGTCCCCCCTGCCCCCTTCTCACTACGCCTCTGTATTTGCTTATTTGATAGCAGCCGTGGGGTAGCCTACTTAATAATTCATTAAATTTGTTTTATAGAATATAAATAGGAAATATAACTATTAATAAATAATTTAAATAAATAAAACAATGTTTTATAACTTTATAACAGAAACAATTATTATTGGCTTATGAAATATCAGTGTTTTTAAAAAATAGGGGTTGTTTGCCATGGACTTGGGATTGATAACCGCTTGTCTTTGATTTTGATTTAGTGAGTGGGATAAATAGCTTTTATTTCAAATAATACATTATATTAGTTTATACATTTTTATATATTTTATGAATATATATATGTATATATATATATTATATATATATATATATATATATATATATATATATATATATATTTATTTATTTAATATATATACAGGCCTATAAGCTTAGTATAATATATAATATAGGCCTAACTCCAACCCAATTTATTATTTATAGGGCTTATTGTAAAAAAGTATATGTAATGAAATTTTACGCCATATAATCATATTATAATTCTGAAGGCATAAAATAAGTAAAAATGTAAAAAAATATTCACTTACCTTTGGTATTGAAATATCCTATATTTAATCACATATCACAAATATTCCACAAGAGAATTATTATATAATCCTAATTATTCGCAAAGAAAAAACACACTTTCTGCCACAATAATCCAAGAATTTCTTAAGATATTATTAAAGAACAATTATACAAACTTGTACTTACCTCAACCAAATGACTAGAAATTATTTTAATTTTTATCAACCGCAAAAGATGATTTTCAAAATTCATGTTGATTTGTGAAACAACATATAACTAACTTAAAATAAATGACATACTCATTTTTTTCATATTCATATAGGACTAAAATACATATATAGAAAATAGTAAAATAAAAAGTGTAATCGTAAATTTTAACTAAATAAAACAAATAATCCCTTTATTATTTGTTTATTCTTATAAATTTTAAACAATTCCACTGAAAATTTAAAATTAATATCTCAAGACTATTATTATTATTATACATTTTGGGAAATTAATAACAAAAATATTTAAACAAAATTAATTAATTTATTACAAATAAGTGATGAGTCAGCATATTTAAAACTTTAATAGGACAAAATACAGTTTTTTTCCTAAATTTTTGCGGCATATTAACAAAAGCTAGCTTACATTTTGTGGCTTTATGTAGAAGTACTCTTAGTTAACTATGTTCCTTGTAAATATTATATGGTGTCTCATTTTATAAGAAAGTTATAGGCGTTTAATAAAAGGCAAAATGAGGGTCACAAATGTGGAGGAAAATCCCATAGTGAAAAAGTGGTTTTGAGGCCCCTCCTAAAAATTCATAACTTTTGAACCGCTTGAGCTAGAAAGTTGATCTTGGTATTTTTGTAATCGATTCTCCAGGCTCTATACAGCTGTAGTATTGTTATATTTTTAAAAAATGTTTTGAAATTTTCATCAAAGTACCTAGGCATAGGGATCGATTTAGGGTTCAGGTTAGGCGTAGGGATCGATTTAGGGATTCATTCGTGAAATTCGATAAAAATGTGGCATTCGTCGTTAAAATTTACAGAAGTGTGGTTTTACTTCTTTTGGTTAGTATTAGGACTTTTAGATAAAAATACTATACTATAAAAGTATTAAAAGTGAATCAATAAAAAAACTTGAATGTTGGCTCTACTTCTTAGACTTCTACTAGTAAAGTCTAAAGTACTAGACTCTACTACTAAGCCCTGTGTTGCCATATCTAGCTCAGTTGGGACCTCGTCAGGATGTGGTTGTTGAAAAATGAAGAAGTAAAAATGTATTTAATATAATTACTTTTTATTTAGAGTAACGGTGACGGTCCCGACATATCGTGACCGATGGCACCTCTACTTAACTTGTTAATAGTTAAGCCACTTAGTTAAAGTTAGTTTAGTCTTACTTGTCATAGTCATAGCCATATGATCATGCCTATAATCTATAACTATTACTATAGACTATATAATATTATATTAATTTCAGCCAAAAATTGTAATAACTGAAAATAATTTGTCCTGTCAGTACAGAGAATACCACTGATATCACATAATGAACTTTTTAAAAAAGGGGCTAAAGCTAAGAGTAAGAGTCAAGATTATATATCACCATGAAGTCATTTGCGTGTCTATTTAATTATTTAAGTTGCCGTGAATTAGGGTTCAGGGTTAGGTTTAGGGATACATTTAGGGTTCAGGTTAGGTTTAGGGGTACATTTACTTAAATTTAGTGACAGAATTAACTGGTCTTGTCAACCAAGTTGGCGGCCATGGGCAGGGATATCTCTTTGCATTTACCAAAAAGGTTATAATTTAACAACTTAACTTAAAATTTCAAGGCCTATTTTGAAACAAAAATTTCTTGAGTGAATTGAGTTTGAGTGATGCATCGTTTCGTAGGTCAAAAGTCCATTGCCAATGGGCCTATAAAATGGATCTCACTTCAATCAAAGTTTTTATACTGCAGACTCGTAGATACTGTTAAGTGGCTGGCCACATCAACAGTCATTTTTGAAGTTTCCATGAAATTACGCACTTAACTCCACAGCCCCTTTTTTTACAATTACTTAGTGCTTATTTTGAGTACAGAGTATTGCCTACAGTTTAGAGGCTTCCCAGTAAACAGAAATTACTTAGTGACTAATTTATAAACAAAATAATATTTAATATAATATTAGTAGTTAACTTAACCCTCTTGGGACTTAAGGGCCGATCTATCAGCCCAAGGTTGACTAGCGAGAAAGACGTAAGTCCGAGCCGTCGGCCAGATAAATCGAGCTTCACGATTGGCTGGCTTGGCGTTGTACCAGGCAATCAAAATTATTCTTACGTATTCCTGCACATCCCGGCATTGTAATGGCGGCGTTCGTTGATGGTGAACTCAATTTATTTTTGTGCAGGAATTTTTGTGTGTGTGTGTGTGTAGTTACATCGTGAAATTCGAACATGTCGGACAGTGACTCTGATCAAACTGTGCTTTGTGATTTTGATATTCTAGCAGTGAAACTGATGAAAACAACCAGGAAATTAATGAAGACTTTCAAATTGAAGTTAATGCTAATGTTGTGAACTCTTGCTTTTGTATTACTAGTATAAGGGGTTCTCAACTGGAAAGGGATGACCCCTCTGAATTTTTAGACAACATAGGTCCTATAAATAAGGCATAAGCACACCATTTGAGTACTTAAAGCTTTTTTTTACACTAAATATCACTAAAATGTTTATGAGGGAGACCAATAGATATGCAGACAACTTTCTCAGTAACATTCAGCTTAAGAGAAGGTCCCTAGGTCATAATAAGTGTGTCTGTAACAACTGAAAAATAGGGTGGGGGGTGGAAGAGGAGTAGAATTATGTGCCAGATGTATCTGAAGGGCCTCTATGGGCCTTGTTTCCCAAAAACATAAGTGTTAGGACTTATTCAGGCTTCATCCATCAAAAAATTCACACAATTAATACAAGTAAGCCATGTTTATTCTAGGTTTAACAAAAAATTACACGCATAAATTATGCAAATCAGGGCAGCTAATTTGCATAAATGGTGATATTTCAGTTTGATTTATAAAGATTGTATTAGTCCATTCAATTTCCTACAAGAATATATATAGTTTTACATATATTAAGGAAATAGTTTATTTTTTATAAATTTTTTTGCAATGCGAGTGCCGAGCTCGTAAAAAGTGCTCCGTCTTTTTGGCACATACACCCGGAAAAGGCTCCGTCCTAAGAGGGTTAAGTTTAAGTGCATTATTCAAAGTAGCTAAAAAAATATATTTTGTTTAATTTTATTGCTCAATAGACAACATTAAACAGCTATTTTAATTATTAAAATTTGTAAGGATTGCTAAATTACTCTTGTGTGCAGATTTAAAATCTATGTTTTCATGTGTATTCACTCATCAAAAAAAAAATTGCTTGTAATCTTAAGTGCAGAGTTTCGCGAACCCTCTGAATAATGGATATAACATTCTTTTTTACAGTTCTAAATAATGTAAATGTTTTAAATGTGTATATTTGTATAGTTCTTCTCCTTCAAACTAAAATAACTAAAATATTGGAGGGAATCTTAAAACATTGTTGATAAACTAACCACAAACTCCAACTAATTCACTGTCTACTATTATAGTAGTGCATCAGCAAAGTTTTATCATTTATACGCTAAGTTACAAAATCATGAACTAATTAAAAGTTCCTTCATACTTAATGCCACAGATACCATAATCCAGTTTTATCAAAGTTGTACTTAATGTCCTAAAAGCTGTAAACCAGTGCTTCTCAAAATTTGGGTCCTCTGACTGGCACATATCCACACACCTTTCAGTGCCTGGATTCCGAAAAGATTTTTGAAAATTTAAGAAGATGAAATATAATACTAATCAAAATATATACCACAGTTCCCTGCTGCAATGTAGATATGTTACTGCAGGTCCCGCACACTGAAAACTTTGTGTCAGTTATATTTTGTTTAAATAACATACATTTGTTATTTAGAAGGTTTTCATATTTTTTATCAGTGGAAATAATTTTCTAATCCTTTTAAATGGAAACTTAATAAAAATTCAATTAATTAATTTTTTTCTTCGTCCTATTTCAGTATTTTGTTTCCAATGTAAGCAAGTCTTCCACATGTTTTATTTCTGAAAATGCCCAATGATAATAGAATTAGGAGGCAAACAGAGGGACATAACTGGCTATCTATATTGTGGATACCCATCATTTTCAGCTCAGCAACTTTTGGACTCTATCTCTTGTCAATGGGCTTCAACTATGAAGAGGATGGTGAAAGGTAAAGTTAATGTTTGGTCCTGTTAAATTAAACAATTTTTTTATCCAGATTTATTCTTGCAATACACAGGCTGAGTTAATTTTCTCTAAATTTTAATGTCTATTGTAAAATGTAAATATCAAATAATTAATTGAAATATTTCTTACTAGTGCTTAACCTTGTGCAGTTTTTATAAACCAGGTCAAAGTATTTTGAGAAAATACCCAATGGGTCCCAGTGTTAAAAAAAAAAAGAATTAATTTCTCATTTTCTATAATATGCAACAAAATCTACTGCCCTATGTTGTATTGAGAGTGCATTGCCTTTGTCAACCGTTTGTGTAAAAAAAATAACCTACTGATAGTAACAGGCAGTCAGTCACCTGATCCCAGCATGTCCAAAAACCTGTCAACAGAGAAGATACTCTCGTTCATTTTATAAAAAAAGACTTACGAAACCACAGTCACAGTATATAGAAAATAGCATCCTATTTACTGGAGTTCAGGTGTTACGCATGAAGCTCACTGTATGACAGAGGAAAACGAAAAATTACAACACAGAATAATAGTCACCTCCCCTAAAGAAAAGAAATCAACCTATTTACTGGAGTTCAGATGTCACAAATTAAGGTCGCTTTTTTTTCCCCATTCAGTACGATTAATACATAAAATGTGGAGGGGGATTTGTGGGGGAGGGGGGGGTTAAAGAGGAAGCAGGACCTACCAGAAGCTAAGTATATATAAAGATATTTATTAAAGCCATATGTTAATTTAAATATTTAATTTGAAATTACTGATTCAAAGTTTGCTGCATGTTTTTCTCATCAGTTTTCAACCGAATTTCCCTACAAGCATTGAAGATATCTCAGAAATGTCAAAGTTTCTCATTCTCATGAAAACCCATCATCTTGGTTACCTGTTGTTGGTTTTTTGTGCCGGTTATATTTACAAACAGACCTTTGCCATACCTGGGTCAGTTTTCCTGGTAAGTTGTGATTTTTTCCTTTTGTTAGCAAGGTTTGAGTAAATTGCATAAAGCTGATGACTAAGTTCTGTTGTCTTAAAACAGAACAGTTTCATCCATTGTCATGACATTAAGTTACTTCATCAGAAATCATCCCTTTTTTTTTTTCACACATAGACTATAGATATCACAATGTAGCAAGACTAATCCTTAGAAATTTTATTGTAATAATTTATTATATACCAGAACTGTTATTGTATACAGCGGTGGTTCACAGTAGGTGGATGTGCTGGGGTACAGTAGTATGCCTTGAGATATGCTTTGTGTGCCACAAAACTTCTGAGACTTTGTGATGCTGCTGGTAACAGAAATTAAAATAACTACCAATTCATATGAAAGTGTATCATGGGAGGTCACTATAAATGATAGTATTGATAGTGTGGCATGAAATTTTTGTCTTGAGAACCCACTGTTCTACAAAATTTACAATGTCTTCATAAGGTTTCCCTCATTATTTCAGAATCTGTTGGCTGGTGCACTGTTTGGCCCTTTCTATGGTTTCCCTCTAGTGTGTTGCCTGACAGCCAGTGGGGCAACACTGTGTTATCTTTTATCAAAAAATTTTGGCAAACCTTTCATTATGAAATATTTCCCAGATAAAATGATGCTGTTCCAGGACAAGGTAACTATTTTAAAATATCAGTTTGGAATATTTGAATTAATAAAATTACTGGTTAAATTGACAACAAATATTAATGGGTACATGGTCACAAAACGATTACTGGGTACTTGGTCACAAAAATATTACTGCAAAACATTAATGGCCAAAAGACAATAACAGTTAACATTACATGGTACAATATGAAAAGTGAGCTGAAGCTGACTTTAAATGGTTTAATACAGCTAAAGGGATACAGCTAGTCTTGAATGGCTCATTATGACGTGGTACAGCTTACATACACCACATTGTACCTCATGACTTGTGGTGGTAGTGCACAGTGCTTTGATTTTGTAAATTGCTTATCAGTGATGTGTTGCTCTTGTCTTTTTATTTAGGTCCAACAGAATAAAGATGGACTTTTCTTTTTTCTTTTGTTCCTTCGCCTCTTCCCAATGTCGCCCAGTTGGTTCATGAACATGGTGGCCCCGATTGTGGGGATCCCAATACACTTATTTTTCTTATCAGTTTTAATAGGTAAGATGATTTCATTAATATATACTTTTAAAATTGAGAAAAAAAATTAAATGCCAAATTTGCTAATGTACTTAATCTATAATATCCCCATTTATGGCTTAAAAATTGTATCTCAAAAAAAGTATATATTTTCTCATCCTGGTGTGTAAGTGCCAAAAGTAAAATTATGATGTCGATTCCATTCTAAACTGAACAAATACATCAAAATCAATTATTTTACTTTGTTCATGAGCCTTTAAATAGTGTCCAACCACAGAATTACCAAGTGTGAGCCTTGGCATTCAGAGTGTGTCCACAAAGGGAAATAATGCTGAATTTGTTGTTCTTTCCATTTGCATGTCACTTTCTATGTTGTCAGAATTACATTTCTGATTAAATCTTGCCAATGTTTAAGTCCAAGTTTGATTTTTAAAGAGGCAAAAAAAGTAGATCCCTTTTATCTATGATTTTTAAAAGAAATCATTAACAAATTATTTTTTTTTAAATGACCATCACATTAAAATTAAGTTTTTCAAAATAAAGTTTTAAAAAACAAAAATTTCATTTATTTGTCATTTTTTAATTTGTTAATACTAGTTACCAATGTAATTGATATAATTAGAATCATAGTTGTTAATCAGAGATGTGTTTTATTATAAAATTCACGTTATCCCACCTAGACGTAACATTTCTGTAGTTGTGTTGTGTTCATCCATAACAATAACTTGCCTGCTTGCTTTTCTGTTTTTTTTCCAGGTCTGATGCCCTACAATTTCATATGTGTACAGACAGGGAGTGTGCTGTCTCAAATTACATCTGTCAGTGACATTTTCACAGTTTGGACCCTGCTCAAAATGTTGATGGTGGCCCTGGCAGCACTCTTGCCTGGCATTGGTATCAAATGGTTCCATTTTAAAACAGATTAGTGTAGAGATCAAAGGCTTCTTATGACTGACTTTAATATGGCAATATCAGGATTTGTGTTCACAAATTCCTCACATTTCAGGAATCAGCTCCAGATTTACATAATTTTAAAGTTTTATAACATTTTTTAAGTCTTTTTTTTTTCCTTACACTTTTTGTGTGACATCTCTCTTTATATATTTTGCATGCCAACACAAATAATGTAGACTGGAAAGTTATCCCAACTGCAAGTTGAGTGCTGTTTTCTTTCTTGAGGTTTTTAAATCGGGTTTTAAATCCTACACTAGAATAGCTGCCTTGCTGTCCAGTCCATTTTATCTGGCTTTTTTCAATAGCTGGGGATGACCCTTGAGGGTTTGAGGTCATGAGACTGATATGCCACCATTGTGCTGTGGGCTGCCAAAATATGTCTATGAGAAATGTTGAAATAAAATGTATGTTGATCCATGGACTGAAGAAATTTGATTCAAATTTCTTATCTAATTCACAACCTATTTCGCAAGTATTGGATTTATAAAACAGTGGATTTCCCTATACTGCAACATAACAAATTAGCATGGCTAATTTTTTTTTAAGGAAATCACTACATAGGTTTTCAAAGCTGAAGATAAACCGGAATATTTGAACTATATCAAACATATTTCATATCAAATAGAAACAATGCAATATGGGAGATAATTCAACTCATGTTGATGAAAGATTACCATAATGATTGAGAGAATGAATGCTTAAAAATATGTAGGAATATTTTTGAATTTTTTTACTTCTATACACAGAGCATCAATTTTTTTGTTATTTGTACTAATGTATATCGCATTACAGTACACAGAATTGTTTGTAAATTATTCAAAGCTTGATATAAATCTTTTATAAATAGATTCATAATTAATTTTTTAATTGTCTGCAATCTTGTCAATGCCCTTTAAGGAGTAAATACTGTTGGAATGTCATTTGTTTGTGTTTGCTGAATAATTTCACTTTTTAAAAATTCTGTGATATTGTTGTTTAGGCCTAATACAAAATGGCAGACTTTAGGAGTCCTAATAACATCTTATTTCTTTTTATAGATACGACAGTGAAACTTGAATTTTTCTGTTCTTTAAATGAATGAATGCTGCCCTTAAGAGCAAGTTTCTATAAAAACATTGAATAAATTAGTTGATTATAATTTTTTATTTCATGTTATTTCTAAAATTTATAGCAGCAGAAGTAAAACGTGTCGTGTGCATATTCTCTCTCCTCAAAAATTTTCTAAATAGATATATTTTTTTATAAATATGGGTCTTTGCTCACAAAAATGTTGCCTAACCCTGATCTCTGCCATTTCAGTGTCCTGTAATATCACCATGTTGAGAAGATGTACACTTTCTTTAACTCATCACATGTCTTATCACAACTGGTCAATGCAACCGCACCAAATAGGATATGATTTGCATTAGTTTATAAAGAAGAATCCTTTGGAGTTTTGAGGTTTTTGTCAGAAATTTTTTTAATTGTGTTTACTTTCTTATTCTTTGCTTTAATTGATGAAATTTTGCATTTCTCAAGGGATGCTCCACACATAAGCTGTTGGATCAGGTAATTTTATTTAAAAGGAAAACTTATTGGACATCCTTTATAAAACCATTTAGCTTTGATGTCTCTTGAACATTTGTTTTGTGAAATTATCAGATGTTTAACCTTCTATGGTGCCAAAAATGGGACAGCAAAAAAAAAAAAACTGTTTAATATTACTTTTTATTTTTGTTTATTAACACACCTAATCATTACATTATTACCGTATGACATATGATTGTTCTTATACAACTTAAATTTTGTATCATTCTTTAATTAATATGTTTTGGATCATAATTGATTGTTTGTGGGAGGGTATAAAAAATAAAATTTGTCAGGTTTTTTTTTAAAAGTTAAAAGCATTTTAAAACAAAAATACTGCATTATTATTATATATTATTATATTTCAATGAAAAAATGTTTCACAAAAATTGTATCGTTTTAAAATTAACTTATTTAATATGAAAATATTCCAAAAAGCAATATAAAAATGTAAAATATTCAAATAAACACACTTGAAAACTTTAACAATGATTTTTAATCCGGTTATTAAATTTCAGCCCAGTAGCAAAAAGTAATTATTTAGTCATTCCTTGTAACAAACATTTCTTTTCATAAGATTGGCAGTTTACAACATGGCCTTGACATTGTATCTCAAGTGGAAAAATAATTTAACTGGCACATTACTAAATAAAAAATGTAACATTACTAAGTAAAAATTGTATTCATTTTGAAACTTTGATTCTGTAAAAGCTGTTGTACGGGTCAACGATATACCTTCATACTTTCGACTTCATACAAACTTGAAGGTAAATCTATCAATGTTCCTGATTCAATAATAAATGTATATACTGTTACAATTGCTTTTCATATATCATATCTTCTCAGAAATTTTGAGCAAGACTGGAAAGGGATTCTATCAGGGATTCTAATGTTTGTAGGCACTAAGGTCACCTGATTTATATAAATTAAATTAATTTAGCACAAGTTTAATGTAATGGAAAAAAAAAAGCATGCACCAAACGGGTAAATGTTACTAACATAAAATCTCTATACCAGTATAACATCTTTCTATACCAACGTCACATACCTCTACACCAACATAACAGGTTTAAACCAACATTATGTTATTCACATCTTTCTACGTCAGCAGAAGCTATCTATACTCAAACAACATCTTTATACCAATATAAATATTTTCACCAACATAACATCAGACAGAAACTATTGGAAGCAGAAATACAAAAATAATTAACTTAATGAGTTTAGTTCCATGAAAAATACAGCCTTTAAATTAGTTTAAAATGTTTTAATAGGATTTTAAATACACATTTCTGGACATCTCAAATACACATTTCTGGACACAATTGTTCAAACTCAAGAGTGCAGGATTATTTTTCTAAATCTCAATGTACGCCAATAAAATGTAGGCAAAATAATTTTTTAAAATTTAAACTATTTAACTTTGCCATTGATCCATCTAGTAGATTAAATTGATAAATGATCAATATAGAGTGGAGTTTCTAGCAATGCAAGCAACTTCAAAAATCTTCATTCACTATTTTTAGGCTCATTATCTTTTGTTATATATTCATACATACTCTGAATTTTACAAAATTTCCATGGAATTCATAACAAATTTACAATATTTAAGTTTCCAATATACATTATACATATTATATTTATACACTGAATATATTACGCTTCTTCATTATGAAAATGTCCAGCAGACAAAATTTTTTTTTTAACAATGGTCACCATTTTTAAAGAAAGGAAATGAAAGCAAATGCAGTTCATTATCTTCTTATGTTTGAATAATAATATTTAAACAATTCCAAAAACTTCACGTATTGAAGAGAAATATATCATCTCGTCTTTTAATCAAAGTTGACGGGTCCTTTCTATTTCCACGTGATACTTCTTGTTTTTTAACTCTCGTCACAGACTTAAGCTTCACGGACAAAGCGGATGTACAATAAATTTTTAACACAAACCGGAACAGATCACATGCATTGCATGACAGATCACATCCACAATATGATAGATCACATCCATAACCTGTGGATACTATAAATCTTTTGGTGCCATAGCATTGCATGACAGATCACATCCACAATATGACAGATCACATCCATAACCTGTGGATACTATAAATCTTTTGGTGCCATAGCATTGCATGACAGATCACATCCACAATATGACAGATCACATCCATAGCCTGTGGATACTATAAATCTTTTGGTGCCATAAGCTGAGATTTAAGTATGATCCCAACGTTTGCAACAAGAACTTTTATCCTTTAAAATCTACATACATGTTTAAAAAAAATTATCTTACAAGTTATTGTTTAAAAAATAATTGTCTTTCTGGATGTAAATTTTTTTTTACTGAAAACATTTCTTTGCATTAAGCTATTATCTATTCTTTTGAAAGCAGCACTCGCAAACTTGAACAGGTGAAACTACCAAGAGAACATAAAAATAATTCTAAATGGCAATAATATTTTCATGTTATTGGGTGTAAATATTCTCTGGCGTCGAGTTTTTTTATTTAAAAAAAAGAAAACCAACCCACCCACCAATGTGTGCTCCTCTATGCAGTATTTATCACAAAGCCTTAAAATAAACATTTATGAATGCAACTACAATTGCAAAATTAAACTACAAAGAGAGAACTCAATGTAATTCTACAAACATTTTTATAAAAATAATACATTTTATGCATTTCAGTATATAAAAATTACGCAGATATTTTTATAAAAACGATCACATCTAATTAAACACAACACCGTTCTGGAGAAACCCCACAGAAAATTTAAAAAATCAGTGAGTGCTTGGACGTGTTATTTGTTGAAAGTTTTGATATAAATTCTAGATTGTTTCATTTTGAGTTTTCACATATTAAAATTGTGTGAATAAAATAATCTAGAGCATTGGTATCAGTTAATCCAGGGGTCTCAAACTCAAATTATCCGGGGGCCGCAGGAGGTAGAGTCTGAGTGACACTGGGCCGCAACAAGTATTCCACAAAAAAAGTGGGTTACAAATTCAGTAAATTACAACTGTTACATTCTGCTCTACTTTTCATTGTAACAGATAAAAACATTAAGGGTTCTCAAGAGCTAGGCCGTCACATTGCTTAACGGCATTATGTCCATAGTAAGAAAATAAAACTACCAATGATGTGACGTAAAAGTATTCAGCCAATAAATGCTATGAAAATAATGAGCTTCTGGAAAGACGAAAAAGAATAAAAGAGACCATCACCATGAATGGGGGAAACAAGCGGGCCGCATTAACACTAAACTTTGCTGTCAAATAGTGGGCCACAAAATATCATCTTGCGGGCCGCGAGTTTGAAACCCCTGAGTTAATCCATCCTATCAGATAATCCAACTTTTCACATAATCCACTGAATCAGATCTAATAAAGCAACATTCAACCAAAAATTGGTCTCATGCAGACCAATTCTTTGGACAAAACTTCCTACTTGATTATATAGACCAGGGGTTCTCAAATTAAAACTTCCCAAAGGGTAACATGATTATAAATCTACAACACAACTACACATCATTATTAAGAATAGTCTCTTATTACAATACTTAAAACACATCACTTTTAGGGTTGTAGGAAAAACCATAGTGTACACACTGCACTTTGTCTAGACACAAACTATTACAATATGTAACAAAACATCACCTTTAGTGTTGTAGGAAGAACCCTTATATACACTGCACTTTGTCTTGGCATAAACCGAATAGCACATGAGTTAGCAGCCTCCATTTTCTTAAAATATGAACTATTACCATTTAAAAATTATTAGATGTGGTTAGTTTTGTAGATAGCTATTTTTGTACATTAGATCAGGGGTTCTCAAAGTGGGCTGGAGGGGGGGGGGGGCCATGAAAACTCTTTTTAAAAAAGTACTTTATTTTTTAAAAAGATAAGATTTAGCAGGGAAGTGAGCTGCAGAAGTAAAATTAAGTGTTAAAAGCGGAACACACGCAAACTATACCATAAAAAGAGAAAAAGTTTGAGAAACACTGCATTAGATCAATAAATTGTCCTATTAACAAGTCTATGTAGGAAACTGTGTTAAGCACTTAAACACTTATTAATTTAAATGAGAATGAATACATGGGCACTACCTTGTATATTTTTTGTTTACAACGTCTGAGCTCTGGTTTAGGTGCATTCCTTGGACGGTTGGCCTATTCAGGGCGTGGAAAGGATGTTCAGGACCAATATGACATTCCCAATTTCTATTGCTTAATTAAGGCTTAAACCAACTTGTCCTTAACATGCTTCAATGGCTTCTTAGTCTGCTACCTGCTCGATTGACTTTTTAGGTTATCAGTAACAGGGGTCGGCAACCTTTTGGTATTAGCGAGTCAAAAGTGACACTTCTAAATCATTAGCGTGCCAAAGTAAGACTTCTTCTTCATTCAAGGTGCCACTTACTCACATGTCTGCCATTTAAGCATGTACACTGTAGGTTGCAGACCCCTTGTCTATAACATGCTTCACTAGCTTTTTAGTCGTCTGGTCCAGGGATCCAATAAATTTGGGATCTGGGACAAATGTTTTGGAGCTTAGGCAAGTAAGGGAAGACTACAGGTCTGACTACAGGTCAGCAAAGAACAGAACTTGATGGTACAAGGCTTCAACAGCACAGGCTTCCCATTCCAGTTCAATGCACCTTTAACTGGAAAAACACTGGATTGGATTACTGATCAACAAAGATACCATTTGATTAAACTGATTACAAGTAATGGAAACCAATATGTCTACATTCATCACACATGCTATGACATATAGACCACTCCACATTTAATCCATGTAGATGCATCTCTTCAACAACAAATGGCTGCAAATATATATATATTATATGTCATTATGTTATACTGTAGGGAATTCTTTGTGCATTTTTAAAATTGACAAGCACAGGAGAGAGAAATTTACGTGCAGAAAAATAGATATGTTACACACTCCAAGCTGATTAATTATTATTCCCGATAGGACCAGCTCAACATGAATAAATCCCCCCACCCCCCTGTTTTTCACCTCTTATTTTAATTAATGAATTTAGTGTCCACTCCTGATATTTTCTTCATTCAGAAAAAAATTCAGAACAGATTATGTTCCATGGTTGTGGATAAATTCATATAACAACCAAGTCCAGTGGCCGGCAAACTCATTAGTCAAAAGAGGCAAAAATCAGCAGCAGGACGATTGAACATTTTTTGAGAGCCAAATCACTTTTTAAGAACCTGTCAAGAACCATGTTTATCTGAGTCAAAACCCATTTGTGGCCGAGCCACACTCAGGTCACTAAAGAGCGGGCGAGCCGCATTTTTCCAACCACTGGACTAGAATAAGGAACAGAAGTGGGTCTTTAAATGAGGAATAGACACCTGTTATATATGTTTAGATTTTTACCCACTACACTGATCCAAATAATGGATGTTTGAAGCTCAGCTGATGAGGAGACATTTATACATTTGATCAATGACTGAGGTTTTGTAAAGCACTAGAATTAGACCCATTCTTAAAATCAAAGAGAAAATTAGAGCAGAAATGGTGTCAGAGTTTACATAAAATAATTGTTAAAAACATCAACTCGGACGACAACTTGCAAGAAACCTATTCCAAGTTTAACATAGCAAATTTTGATGATATATTAGTGCTGAAAAGCCAGCTTCTGTTTTAAAAAAAAATTATGTGTAAAATTAGTCACAATGTTTACCATAACAACATACAATAAAAACATACTTAAATTTATTGCTAATAAGAAAGGTTATAAATATAAAAAAGTGTTCAACAGGAAACATTGAAATAGAGATCTATTAATAACAAAGCAACTTTAAAAATGCAGCTTTCAAGTTAACTAGACACAACAGTGTCACAAATTATTGACCACTTTGACATTTTTTATACATGAGATCAACAGCACAAAAAGGTTACACTATTCAACATTCACCAGATAAAGCAAACAGTTCGATTAAAAGTACTTTAATACTTCACAACTGTCACGCTAAATGGAGTGAACCACCCTAACTAGATGGTGTGAACAACCCTAACTAGATGGTGTGAACCACCCTAACCAGATGGTGTGAACCACCCTAACTAGATGGTGTGAACCACCCTAACTAGATGGTGTGAACCACCCTAACTAGATGGTGTGAACAACCCTAACTAGATGGTGTGAACCACCCTAACTAGATGGTGTGAGCCACCCTAACTAGATGGTGTGAACAACCCTAACTAGATGTGAACCACCCTAGCTAGATGTGAACCACCCTAACTAGATGGTGTGAACCA